ACCTGTCCTCACGGCGGCTATGGTTTAGGTCTCGAGAGATTCATTACTTATATCCTCAACCGATACCACATTCGCGACGCATGTCTTTACCCCCGATTTGTCTCCCGCTGTAAGCCTTAACGCTATCCTCTATTTGTATTCAATTGAATAATATTTAATAAATTGAAGGAATTTTCTGCTTTACTTTGAAATGAATTCTATGCTATACTTTTTAATACTGTATTACTTTGAAATGGGATCAAAATAATCTTTGATTTAATCTATTGATTAAGTGTTTCATTAAAGTATTAGGGATTATGCTTTTAAAACTATGTAAAACTTTGTTTTGTATACAGTAATTTTGTCAATTATAATTTATAAACTTTTTTAAATAAAAATATTGTTCTGCAAAAGTTGATTTACTAAATAAAATAACTTTAATCTATGGCATAGACTATGCATTTAATTAAATTGACAGATATGAAGCACTAAAAATCTATGTACTAAAAATCTACTTTTAGTACTTTTAATAACATCTCATTGAATAATATAAACAAATGTTTTAAAGCATGAAATGTTGTTCAGAACTGTTTTTAAGAACAAAGTCTCCATTTATCGCAACATTTCTTATCGATCGAAAGATTTTCGTTGAAACCCAACTGGAAGTCCGTAAAACTTTATATTATAGTTATTACCGATCGTTAGCTATTAGTTGAAGTCAAGGCCAGTCATAACAGGACAGACTCTCTGCGATATTTTAGCATAAATCGCGATAACAAACAATTTTTGGTATATTTAGATATTTTCCACATTTTAAAGCCTTATAATTTGTGACCAAAGGTTAGTAAACGTATAAACGTACTCTCGCTTAGAGTCCACATTCAGTGTCCACAATATAAAAGCTATATTTTGTTTGTGTTCTTCGTATTGACAGTAGAGAAGTGATGTTAAATATAAAACTTTTTAAATCACTTTTATATCAAATCATTTGGGCGTTGAATAACAGTAAAAATATTTTTTGTTTCGACACAAACACTAGACAACATCGTTGCGGAAATATATTCAATAGATTGAACATTTCGTGCTGTGTATTGGAGTTGTAGGCTGTGCTTACGAGTTAGTATAGCCCTGGGCACTGATTGCCTCGAATAACATCATAAGTTATATTATTATTTTCAAAAACTTTTTCTAGAAACCTAATTTCACTTTTTGTTTAAACATTAAGTTTTGAAAAAGTATTTCAAACTATTTATTCCTAGTGTCCATTCAATTCAATTTATTTGTGGATTTATTATTTAATTAAATAATTAAATGCAAAATGGTTGTTTTATTACACAAAATTAAGTTGTGTTCAAATATAATCAATAATTATACCAAAAATCATGGATTAAAATACATCAAAAGTACCTTTCGTTTGGATAATAGGACATATACTTCGGAGAGGTTGAGGTAAAAAATATTGACAATTAATGTTTAAACAAGTCTATTTTAACCATATATAATATTGAAACAATTACTTTATTATATATTTATTTATTGAAACCAATTTAGGTAATTCATTATATCATATATCACCATAAATTTTAAATAATTCATCAATTTTGAATACTAAACATTAAAAAGTAATATAAAGTGTTAAATATGTTATATTTTTTATTATATTAATATCATTGATAATATCATTATCAAAATAAGGAAGTATTTGCATTAAATACTGAATCATGTGATTAATTTATTTTATTTTATTCTAATGATTAAATATATTAAAATATTTATTTTATAACTCAAAATATTTAATTCTTTGTTTAGTGACAGAAACTTTTAAATATAATACGAATGCTTTACTTACACAGCTAAAAATATTTTATAAATTGAAATAATTTTGTATGTGTCGAAATTATTTGATCAATTAAGAACAATTAATTTGGCTGACATATTTAATACAATTGTAATTATTTCATGCATTACTTTGTTAATGAATCATTAATCATGATTGTCACAACACATGGATGGGCCCGTGCAGAATAATTCTTAGAAATACACATTTCAAACTAATTTTGTCAAACTTTATTTGTTAATGTGTGTTAGTGTCAAATTACAGTTTCAAATGTATATGAATATGAATATTTTAACAACTTATAGTCCACATATTGTCTTCAGAATATAATTGTTCTTAATGGAAAACAATTTTAGACCCTTGCTTATCCAAATATTAATTGAGCTTTCTTATAACTGACAAATTGGATACTAATCCCAAACCAATCCCATGCCATAACAGCGCTCACGTATCGTTTCCGTATTCACACGCTTACGGACGCAGTGCTAAACAGCTTCAGTACCTCAGGATTGGAGATCTTTTGACACAAAGAGCCCAAACAGGTATATATTATTCAACATTAGTTTAAATTTTACATTTCTCTTATATTGCAATTAAAATATTACATTATAAATGAATTATTTATAATCCCAAATATTTACAACATATAAATAACAGTTTTGTGAACATTTGTTTGTATAGAGAGTAACAGAATAGCGTTTGTCAGCGAATACGAGAATATAAGCAAAACTTATTCGCAATTCGAAGAAGACGTCAACAAATTGTCGAAAGGACTCTTGGATTTAGGTCTGTCGCAGAGTGTCAAGTCTATGAATTCATACAACAAACTAGTTTTTTAGGTCTTAAGAGGGGAGATGTGGTGGGCGTCTGGAGTTGCAATTCATATCCCTGGGTAACTACATTTTAAAAGTAGATAGTTAAAAACTCTAAAAGT